CAGGAGGCTGCCTCACAGCCGACTCACCCCACACTCCCGGCATGGCACCCCATACCCCACCTCAGAGGCTTGGCTCTGGGCTCCCCTTTCCGACCAGGGTTACCCTTCAGCCCTGCCAGGTTGGAAAATGGGTTTGCCTCCTCCTCTCAATGGTGGATAGCGTCCTCCTCTCCATGGTGACCACCTTGTATGAACTAAAGTGCATAGCATTGAACCCTCACACCCCACAAGGCCTGAGAGGTCCACGTATCCCCAAGGGACTGTGGAAACCTAATATTAGACAGAGAGCAGTCTCAGAAAATCCAGGACATGTGTTTGCCATGTTGATCACCAGCCCCCCCTCCCTGTAGACAAACCTCTCTTCAGGCAAGGCGGAGTATTCCTTTGGGACCAGGAGTGAGAAGTATGTTGGGGTTGGGAGTGGGGAGAGGGGATTGCATATGAAATCACATTTGGCAACTTGAGTCATATTTTTAATGCACTAATGGAGTTGGCTTCTTGAAGAAAGGAATCAGTGATTCTTTTTCTGTGGGAATGAATTCATATGGGAAAGAGTTCCAATAGAAGGGGATATTTTTAGATTTGGGTATACTGGATTTGCTTAAAAGGAGGCACACCGGTACACGGTTTGTAACCCTTTCATTTGAGGAATCCCTCCCTGCATATCCCTGCTGTTGGATTCACCTGCCAGCTCTGTCATTTGCACCCCCACACCCCACAGAGACAAGGCGCAGAGTGGCCTGGTGGAGAGACAGGCCCTGGACAGTGGCATCACCTGGACCCGGGTTTGAACCTCTGCTCTATTTCTTCCCAGCCAGGGAAGAACCTTACACACCTTATGGGCTGATTTGCTGCTGATCTGGGACAGATGGGAAGGCAATATTCTTCCCCGATATATCAGGTGGGAGGATTAAATCAGGTCATGTCCATAAGTCACTGAGCATTTGCCGGAACACAGGACAGACAAGGCCAGGATACCCCCTCCCCGCCCCCAGCACTGTGCCTTCAGAAATTCCTAAAAAATAACATCTGCCAACTTAGGCAGCACATCTGCCTGCCCCTGCCAACCTGAGCACATCCTGCTTCTGTAAATCTTCTTCCCCAGATGAGCCCCCCTTCTGAGTTCTGAGCTCCAGCAGACAATGAAGCAAGATTAGAGCAGACCAAGGCACCTTCACAAGGACCCCCGTTGATCCCTGCCTCCCAGCACCCAGGTGTAGCCAGACCACAGCACTCTCAGAAGTCATAGAATCCTAAAATCCTAGGGCTAGGTGGATCCTTAGAAGCCTTGGGCCTCTAGTTCCCTGTGGTATGTATGGGAAAACTGAGGCTGGGCACTGCCTCACTTCCTCATGATCTAAAAGCTGGTAAGGGGCAGAAACAGCACAAGAGCTGGACTCTTAGGAGAAGCAGACCGCCCCCTCTCCCCTACTTGCCCCTGGAGGGTACAGGTCTGGCCACCCTGGAAGCCTGCATTCCACCTGGGCAAAGACTGTGTCCCTCATCTGTCCACACCCAGAGCTCTAAGTAAGTGGTGTTGGCGGATAGCTGACAAAAGGTTTAGGAAATGTGCTGGAAGCCTCCTGGTTTTCCGTCTTTGGGAGGCCCTGTGGTGGTGTTGAGAAAGAATGTGACCCTGAAGCCCAGACTACTGTAAATGCAGCAACTCACATGTACAAGGTAACCAGCACGGTGCTGGGCTCACAGCAAATGCTAGAAAATGGAGGCCGTGATCTGGAATATTAGTCCTGATTCTGCTGCTACATGACCTTGGGCAAGTCAACAAACCTCTCAGAACCTCAGTTTTCTAGAGAATAGGAGGAATAACATGCCCCCAGTTGACCTGCCAGGTGCTTCCCTGATTGCTCAGTGGTAAAGAATCCACCTGCCAAGCAGGAGACTCAGGTTTGATCCCTGGGTTGGAAAGATCCCCTCGAGAAGGAAATAGCAATCCACTCCAGGATTCTTGCCTGGAAAATCCCATGGACAGAGAGGCCAGGCGGATTACTGCAGCCCACCAGGCTCCTCTGTCCATGGGATTCTCCAGGCAAGAATCCTGGAGTGGATTCCATTCCCTTCTCCAGGGGATCTCCCCAACCCAGGGATGGAACCCAGGTCTCCTGCATTGGTAGGTAGATTCTTTACTGTCTGAACCATCAGGGAAGCCTCACTGCAGTCCTTGGGCTGCAAAAGAGTCGGCCATGACTTAGCAACTAAACAACAACAGTTGACCTGCCAGGGGACTCAGTTCTCCCATGGACGTCACAGGCCTTCACAGAGGAGGTAACACTTGCGAGATGAAGTGAGCTTCCCACAAATTCAAGGATGAGGTGGGAATTCCAGGTTGAGGGAGCCACAAAACTAGAGTGATTCAACAAGGAAACTATGGGATGGAGAAAGAGGGCCCTTTGTGTGGCCACTAACACTGAAGGCCTGAAGCTCCTGTGTGCATACAACCAGCCCTCACTCCCCTACCGTCTCCTAAAGGACTGGGAGGCCTCTGAGGAGACCCGACATTTACAGCCCTAGTGGTGTTTACTTTATTCCTACAGATGAAGGTCGATTGCCTCAAAGTCACAAAGGTTGAGAGAAGTTGGGTTAAGCCCCACTGTGTCCGGTGCCCGGCATGTCTGACTTACAGGCCCAGGCTTCCAGGGGGCTGTGCCTCAGATGGGAATCTTCAGGCTCCACAACCCCCTGCAGGGTCCACTGTCCCTCAGCCCTGACTTGGTGGAGACCTGAGCCTTCCTAGTCCCAGGCCCTGCAGCAGAGAGCAGAGGGAAGGCCCTAATTCCTTCAGGCTTCAGGGAACTCAGATCCGATCCTGACAGACTCAATACCCAAATGTAGGTTGTTTCTTTCTGCTCCATCCTCCATGGAGAGAGAGGTCAGAACAGAAAGAGGCTGTTATATGTATATCTATATGTATATATCTATATATATAAAAGTCTTAGTCTTAGTTGTGGCATGTGGGAATGTGGTATCTAGTTCCCTGACAAGGAACCAAACCCCAGAGCCCTGCATTGGGAGTGCAGAGTTTTAGCCACTGGACCACCAGGGAAGTCCCAAGCCTAGTACATTCTTGCAGGTCCAATATGGCAGAATGGGAATGAAGGGGCAGACTGGGATGTGGGCCTCTGAGGCATCCGGGGTGGGGTGTGTTACAAGATGAGCAGCTGGCCCTGGGCTGTGGGTGCTGACAGAGCAAAGAGAAGCTGCCCTTCCCCTCGGGTTTGGGCAGATGAGTGAGTGAGTGACAGCAGCAGGTCCAAGCCGAGTGGCCTGATGGGGCTCTCAGGCCTCTTTAGCTACCATGGAGGCCCCGGAAATACCAGGGCTGGGAGGGGCCACAGGGGGACAGAGGCCTAACCTCCTATCTCTTAGGTCTCCACCAGACCATTCCCCAGGCCCCAGCCACCCTGGCTGCCTCTCCTGGGTACCCTTTTGTGCCATCAGACCCCTTTCTCTCCCCAGTCAGGGTCCTACCAAGCTCCAACACCACACTCAGAAAGACCTTGTATGTTTTTCAAATTAATGCAATTAAGAGCATTAAAGTTTGCGAACGATAGAGTTTTTCATTTTCCTTTTATTTGATTAGAGAAATTCCCACCGCACAGTTCCTCCAAATGAAACCCAGACCCGAGGCCCATTGTTCCGGGGGCTTCCATGAGAATGTGTTACCTTTCAATCTCACACACTAATGTGTTTAGCGTTACAGTCCCCCCCGGGCGGCTGCAGGAAGGATCTGGAGCCTTGATTAAAGCAGCCTTTGCCGGGCAGGAATGTGGGCTCCTCCGCCCGGGAGTCACAGAGGGGCTGGGTGTTCACTCACAGAGCCTCTGCTCACAAGGCAGGCGGGCGGGTCAGGGACTGGGCTCGCGGGCACTTGTGCCTGGCTGTAATTAGGCATTTTTCCCTCTGACTTGCCTTTCCTTTCAGACCCCCTGTACCTCTAGCCACAACAACTCACATGTGACAATACACACATACACACCCCTGTGTCTCCTCTCCTCTGTCCCATCTTCAGTCCCCTGGCTGCTGCTGTCCTTGGCCAGCTCCATTCAGAGGCAGCACTCAGATCACAGTGATCACACTGCTTCTCCCTCGGTCAGGCCCCAAGCTCCAAGGTGAAGAGCAGAATTAGAGCCAAACGGGAAAAATTGATTAGAGGAATATGTAAGGAAGGCCTGGGAGAGGGAGGAGGGAGGGTCATAACCCCTGTTAAAAAATTCGACGAGTGCCAAATTTAAACAGGATGTTAAGTCTACACCCCTCCTACCCCAAATCACCAAAGGCTCAGTGCTGGGAGGCCCAGGTTCCTTCCTCTTCCAACTGGGGCTGCTTGGTCCCTCCCGGCCCCAGAACAGCCTTTCTAGGCTGTCTGTGTTCTGCCAGTGCCCCAGGTCAGGAAGCCCTGGGGCTTCCCTGTCCCAGTCACTTGTATCCCACAGACTTTCAACAGCACAAGCCAGGGGCCTAGGATATCACCAGGACCTGGCCCCAAATTGGCAAAGCCAAGAAGCCATCAAGCTTTTGAGCTAGAATCCAAACTAAAAATAAGCCGGTCGACTCTCAGAGGCCTGGCTCCTGCTGCTTCTGGGTCCCAAGGAGCTGGGGAAGGGCTTGGGAGAGAAACACGATCCATCTTCACCCCCACTCCAAAGCTGCATTCCCAGGTGCCTCAGAGTCATTCCACAAACCTCCATGGAGGCCCAGCCTCACAGAACAGAGCAGGCTCTGAGGGCTGGGGTCAGAGAGGAGCACTCCCCTCCCCCAGAGTAGTTAAAGAAGTCAGGGTTGTTGGGGGGGAGGGGGCGGTTGTTAAGCACCTATGGCTGTCCTGGTGACCACACGCTCCATGCGAGATGAGTCCCCCCAGACCCCATTAGGGACCAACCCACACTTGCAGATAGAAAACCAACCACCCCAGCCCCGTGACCCTGTAGAGCTAAGAGCTCAGGCCTCACTAGACTGAGCCTTTCCTTGCATCTCTCTTCCAGGCCTCTGCAGAGCTCCACACCTGGTTGTCCCTGTGTGCAAGTCCCCGGCCATTTAGATGTGCTTTCTAAGAAGGCTGCTCTGTGGTAAGTGGAGGCAAGGAGGCTGATGCCTACTGGGGGCAAGGGAAGATGGTGGTTGAATTAAAGCATGGGTGTGGGGCAGGGGCGGGGGGCGGGGGGGAACTGGAGGGATGACTCAGCTAGTTCAGAACCGGGTCCCCTGCCTCCCCCCTGGGCTGCTGCCTCATTTATTCTACTCAGTCCCAAGGGAGGAAAATTCCCCCACCTGGGCTGGAAAAGCTGGGGGACTGATTTGCAAGGCTAAGTGAGGGGAGTTCACTGTCCTTTTGTTCATGCAGACACTTACTCAGGCAATACTTGGCCGATGAGATAAATCCACCTACACCTTTAAACTGTACCTCCCCACGCAGGGCCCAGAAGGTCTAACCCTTGGATGGGTACCAGGGTTCTGCCACAAACATCTGCCCGGGCCAACAGCCCCCAGGGAGCAGATACACAACGAGAGCTGCATTTGGATGAAGGAGGAGGTGGAGAAGGCAACGTGAGGGAATCAGGATTGCAGTGGAAACTGCTCAGGAATTTGACTTCATGTCTAAGTTGATTCTTCCTAGACAATCACCTTAATGTGGGTATCTCTTAGTTACCCATGCTGCGGGGAAGGATGGGGAGGGAGTGGAAGATACCAAAGGTGAATAATCCAGAGACTATTTCTGATTATTCCTGTTGGACTTTGCCAGTTGGCTTTTTTTCCCCTCTGCTCAGAAACTTGCTTCCCTAAGCAGGATTTTCTTTGACTATTTTTCAAATTTTCCTCATGATTTCCAACCACGAACAATCCTTTCCCAAGATGACCGGGCTTGGTTTTATCCTGAGTGCCATTCAAACCACAAAGACAGAAAGCAGGGGGTAGGGATGGGGATTAACTGAGATGGTACTGGGGCAAGGCTTCCTTATTGAGGGGTCAGAATTTGCTGTGGACAAGCCCCAGGTGAGGAAATTGCCAAAGGAGATTCCAGGCTGTGGGACCATTGCCTCTCACTCCATCAGTGACCCTCCTCCACGGTAAGACCCTGAAAGGAGGTAGCCACAGAACGTGCTAAGGCCTTAGCTGGTACGAAGAAGAGAGGACTCAAATCATATGGGATTGAGGCGAGGGGTAGTGGCCCTGGTGAAAGCCCACCTCCCAAGGAAGGTGGGGAGCAGGAGCCAGCTTACAATTTCCAAGGAGTTATAGAAACCTCAGTCTAATCTAAACCAGCACCCACATTCCTGTAGCACTGCCAGCCAAAGCCTCAGAACCATACCGAACCACTCAGGAGCTGTACCCACATCATGGGGTCCAGGGTGGCACCAGCAGCAGGTGAGGACAGGCCAGCTTCTCTGTTTTGGGCACACAGCTCCCCCCTCCTCATTTAAGTCAGTCTAAAAGGCACAGCAGCAAGGATTCTTCTCTGAGTTTAAATTTTCATGGAAATGAATCAATTTATCTCAGAACACGAGGAGGTGGAGGCAGAAGGATGGGTGATGAATTCCCTTTCCTTAATGCAGATGGACTAAATCCCCTTTGCTTCTTACTGTTTAAAAAAAAAAAAGACATCCAAAAGCTGCTGCCTTTCACACTGTTGGATGCCAGCTGATAACTCGGAAAGCTGCTGATAAATCCTGAGGCTAGGTTGTTCTCAGCTCCTCTGCCTGACCCCAGGAGAGCTGCCTCAGTCACCCCTTGTGTTTACAGAGGGGCTCAGGAAGGCCCAAAACAAGGCTGGAGGGCTGTCTGACTTCCAGGAATGTGATTGCCTTCAACTGGAGGCCCGGAACTCTTTGAGCCAAAAGCTCATGTCCTCACAAACGCTTTCACAAGTATCATCTGACTAGCTTGTGGCTAAAGTTGCAGACCAGGCCTGATATGGTCAACACTAGCCCACGGATGGGTCAGCCATGCACTCTGTGTGCAAACCCTAGCCTTGTGTTCAGCAAGAACCTGAATGTTGACTGCCTGAGCGCTTACTCTGGGCCAGGATTTTGCCTGCACTCCCTCACAAGCACTCTGAGAGGAGGTATCAGCCTTAGGCCCATTCTTCAGATTGTAGAACTGAGGCTCCAAGAGTTTAAGTAACCTCTTTTAGGTTGGTGGCGTAGTTGCTAAGTCCTGTCCGATTCTTGTGACCCCACGGACTGCAGCCTGCCAGACTTCTCTGACCATGGGATTCTCCAGGTCAGACTGGAGTGGGTTGCCATTTCCTTCTCCATCTTTTAAGTTACACAGCCAATAAGTGACAGAACCAGGTTTTGAATTCACATATCTAATTTCTGAGCCTGAGCTCTTCATTTCTAAGTTAGGCAAAGCCTGATTTGGGTTCATCTTTCAGGATTTGAAATAGCTCAACTGGCATTCCATCACACCCACTAGCTGAGCTATTTCAAATCCTGAAAGATGATGCTGTGAAAGTGCTGCACTCAATATGCCAGCAAAGTTGGAAAACTCAGCAGTGGCCACAGGACTGGAAAAGGTCAGTTTTCATTCCAATCCCTAAGAAACGCAATCCCAAAGAATGCTCAAACTACCACACAATTGCACTCATCTCACACGCTAGTAAGGTGATGCTCAAAATTCTCCAAGCCAGGCTTCAGCAATACGTGAACCGAGAACTTCCAGATGTTCAAGCTGGTTTTAGAAAAGGCAGAGGAACCAGAGATCAAATTGCCAANTCAAGGCTATGGTTTTTCCAGTGGTCATGCATGGATGTGAGAGTTGGACTGTGAAGAAAGGTGAGCACCGAAAAATTGATGCTTTTGAACTATGGTGTTGGAGAAGACTCTTGAGAGTCCCTTGGACTGCAAGGAGATCCAACCAGTCCATCCTGAAGGAGATCAGTCCTGAGTGTTCATTGGAAGGATTGATGCTGAAGCTGAAACTCCAATACTTTGGCCACCTCATGTGAAGAGTTGACTCGTTGGAAAAGACCCTGATGCTGGGAGGGATTGGGGGCAGGAGGAGAAGGGGACGACAGAGGATGAGATGGCTGGATGGCATCACCGACTTGATGAGCATGAGTTTGAGTAAACTCTGGGAGTTTGTGATGGACAGGGAGGCCTGGCGTGCTGTGATTCATGGGGTTGCAAAGAGTCGGACACGACTGAGCGACTGAACTGAACTGATTTGGGTTCTGGTGCAACTCACCAGGCTTTCCTGCTCCACTCCTTATACGGACATTATAGTTCAGCCCCATAAATGAACCTTATTTTTTCTGTCTCCTCTACTTGGCATGTCCCTCGCACTGACCCCCAACCTATGACCTTCCACACTCAGTGTACCATAAAAGACTCCCCTCTTCTGGATCCCCTTGGCACTTGTTTACCTTAGTGGTTCTCCAAGTGTATCTCCAGACCAGCAGTGTTAGCATCTGATCCCACCTCATAACCTGCTGAATCAGAAATTCTGGGCATGGGGCCCAGCATTCTGTTTTAACAAGCCCTCCAGGTGATTCTGCTGCACACTCAAGTTTGATAACCATTGGGCTGCCTCTTGCTTCTTCAGACCCCATCAGTCTTGGCGATGATTAAGGGAAAGGTTAGCTTTTGTTGTGATTGTTGACACCTGAGCCTCCTCATCAGGTTTGTTATAAAGGAATCCTGAGCTGCTAATAATGAACTGCGGGAAGCTCTTTTTGGCCTTCACTGTTGCTTTCCACTCCACAACTTGGCATCCTGTTCTAGAACAGACCACAGAAGTAACCCCTGCCACTTGGGCTTTATCACCCTATCTTCAGAACCAGCTTCAACACCCTCAGCGACTGCCTCCCCATCTCAGGGGAGAGCAGAGCTGTAGGCTGTCCATGAAAATCACCTGGGGCCATCAATGTGTCAGCCTCGAAGAATCTCTCCAGGTTTTGTTAAATGGCTACTTGGCTCCCTCCTGGCTTCTTCTTTGATGTATCTCACCACAGCTCACAGACCAGTACTTGTTTAGGGGGCTAACCTCCCAAACCCACTTGTCCTGGAGATGAAAGTCCATTTTCACTGATGAAATCTCCATCTCTGATTATATTAGTAGGATCAATATTATCTATTTCTCCCTTTAAATCTGTCAGTTTTTGCTTCATGTGTTTGAAGCACTGTTATATGTTGCATACATGGTTATGAGCATTTTCCCTTCCTGATGAATCAACCCTTCTACCATTATAAAATGTCCCCCTTTATCTCTGGTAATACCATTTGTCTTGAAGTCTTGTTTTATTTGGTGAGATAGTCTCTCCAGCTTTTGAATGTTTATAATTTTGCATCCATTATTTAAAACTTATCTGTGACTTTAAAATACTTCTCTGCACACTGCAAATAGTTAGGTCTTTTTTACAAAAAATCTATTCTGACAATCTCTGCCTTTTAATTGCAATGTTTAGCCCATTAACATTTAATGTAATTATTGATATGGTTGACTTTAGTTTAATTTGCCCCCTCTGTTTTCTATTTCTTTGTTCCTCCTTCCCTGCCTTCTTTTGGATTTTTAGAATTCCATATAAATATATCTATTGGATTTGTAGCTATACTTCTTTGCATTAATTTTTTAATGATTGCCCCAGGGATTACAACATACATCCTTAACTTTTCACAGTCCACTTAGAGTTACTATTTCAAGTAAAACGTAGAAACCTCACAACCACAGAGGTTTATTACCTCCTACCCCCATTCCTTATGCTATAGTTATCATATGTATTTCATCTACATATATTATAAAACCCACAAGACAATGTTATAATTTTGCTTCAAACAGTCATGTGAATTTTAAAGCAATTAAGAGGGCCTATTGCCAAAGGGAACCCCCAAATTAAGGGAAGCCTTTTTTAGGAAGCTGATTCAGCTCACTGTTATAAAAGGCAACCTGGATCTTTCAACCTGGATTCCTTCACTCTCTTCTAGCTAAAGGTGAATTCTGGGTCCACAGGGCAGAACTTTTTTTTTTTTTTAACTTTTTACTTTATATTGGAGTATAGATGATTAACAATGTTGTGATAGTTTCAGGTGGACAGCAAAAGGACAACGGATTCATTCTTTAAGAGCCTTCACTGAGTCTCCTGAGATTCAGTCATCAGACCCAAGTCCTTTGCACTGTTTCCATGGGGTTCTTGGCATTCAGACATGAAAAGCCAGAATTCTCAGAGTGGATATGGAGATTAAGTCTCACCAGTGTCCTGCTTTCCTCTCCCTGTCTTATAAGAGGCACTTTCTCTCATGTTATTACTAGTTGTATTTTTTTTTTCTTCACCTCTCCTTCTAGGTTATAAATCCTGAGGGTAAAAGCTCTGGTCTTATGCATAGTAGGTACTCAGACAACTTTGCTGAATAAGCAAATGAAACCCAAATGCATTTCCTGACAGCTCTGGAGACAGTTGGGCACAGTAGGGAAAGTGAGCCAGGAAGAAAAGGAGGTCCATGTGTGTCTGCCCCTGGAATGGTGGGAAATCATTTCTAGGGGCAGGGGGTATAGCCAAAAACATCACTGTGGATTGATGAGGGGATCACAGAGAGCCTGAGGTTGACTCTGATGAAATGTAAACGTGGGAGTTGAGAATGTGAAGGCTGCAAAATGGAACGGGGGAAGCTACCAGGCCAGGGTGTGTGGGTGGGACCAGGATTTTTAGCACGCTCACGTGTAC